TTAAATATAGTCAGCAAAGAGTCAACTGATAATATTATGTACTTTCCCTTCTGACTTGTGCTCTGAAGAGCAAGAACTTAATAATAATAATAATGGAAAGTAGTTTGTCAATTCGCATCATTTTCTTATGGGCATGATTTATTTCACACTAATGGAATACACACTTAAGAGAAAATGTGTGTAATATTTTCGGTGAAATTTTCCAAGACAAACAAAATCAACACTAGAACAAAAATGTTTGCTGCCAGATCATACAAAAAAATAATTTCTTTAAAAAGCTATGGTTTGTGAGCACAAATGAAGACTACAGGAAAAAAATGGAAGAGTTGCAATTTTGTGATTCTGAGAAATTTTAGTTCTCAATGTTTAAAATATTAAATCTCAAAAACAAAACAAAAATTTCTCAGTTTCCTTTTACATCGACCCTGCCATTTTTCTCTCTTTCAAATGTGAGTTGTGAGGCCTCCATGGGGAATAACTCAAAATAACCTTCAAAATGAGATATGCTGCAGTTTTTTCCCTGTTGTCTGCAGATCCACAGCTTTTTTAAAGTCCTATTTTGGAATGAATATTTTCAGAGCTCTGTGAAGCGCTTTGAAAAATCCTGAAAAGGAGTTGATCAGCAGCTTCTGCGCGCAGAAGTCTTGTCTGCCTTAGGTACCAGATAGATGTCTTTGGTCAACATGGAGTACAAAACAGGGGTCTGTTTCTTGGAGTCCTGGTGTGGCTTCTCTGTGTTCACAGAAACCATGTCTCTGATCATCAGTCCTGTCACAGAGGTCAGTTGTCTCACAAGGCTTTTGTCTCCCCGGTTCCTGCTCAGGACGTTGTAAAGACAAGTGATGAACCATGACCCTTGATTTTCCCGACGAAAAGCGAAATATCCTGAGAAAAGAAAAGAGAACACGTTCAGTTATTTGTTGTCATAAGCAATCTGTTCCCCCCCCCTCCCCCACATACACACATGCTCATATGCATTAATACTAATCTTTTACTCTCTGTCTCAATGTTGACAGTTAAAAATATTTGTGAGACAGTGTGGTGAAATCAGGCGCTAATCAAAATAATGATACTGAAGAAACCCGCATTTTTATCGAATTACTGTTTTTTGGCTCAAAAACCTTTTTTGTCCATTTAAAAACACATCTCTGTTTTGACCTTTCTGAAAAACGTTCATTAAAGGCATTAAAAATGCAAAGTTTTCGTTTCCACGTTCCATGGACTCTCAAGCTATGGAAAGAACCAAACTATGGTGGCCATTTTCTCGTTAATTTTAGCTCTGAAACTAAGTGACACCACCTACTTCAATCGCAAATATCTCCACTTGTTTCCAAGATAGAGGAGTATTTGTGTCACGACGCAGTGAAATCAGGCGCTCGTCAACTTATGGGCATGTGAAGTTATTGCTGTCATCTAAAAGCTTATTCATTTGCCTTGTTTTCAAGGAAAAAAATACCCATCTATCCTGAATAGAGTTGGAGATATTTGCAATTGAAGGAGGTGGGGTCGCTAGGTTTCAGCGGTAAAATTCGAGAGAAAATGACCCCCAAAGTTCGGAAACTTCAATAGCTTGAGAGTCCTTGAAAACTGAAAAATTACATGTTCTGTGCTTTTAATCAACATTTTTCAGTCAAATACACTAGGAAATGTGTTATTATAAGGACAGAAAAGGTGGTGAGCCAAAAAACCAAATTTCAATAAAAATTGCCAACTGGCGGAAAAATACCTGTTTCTTCGTTTTTATTATTTTGACATGCACCTGATTTCATCACGATGCGTCGCATTTTTTTTCATCAAAAACAGGACAAACAAGCAATCTTTAATTAAGATGATGCAGCTAACTCCATATGCCCAAAAATTGACGAGCACTTGATTCCACAGCGTCATGACATTCTTGTTCCCGAGTCATGAGTTGCCCACCTCCTAATTCAAAGGTCTGAACTAGATCAACCAGGGAATAGAATGTTTACTATCACATCAAAATCCAGTTTGCAAAAGAAATGTTCAGCCAATTTCTGTTCGCCTCGGAAAAAGTGATAGTGGTTGGAGGTTTGCAACTTGTAGGCTCTGCTTATTTACTAATCCTCTATTTTATAATGACAATAAAAATAATAATAATAATAATAATAACCACAAAATAATAATAGGAATAATAATATGATAATAATAATAATAATAATAATAATAATAATAATAGTAATAATAAGAATAACAACAATAATAATAACAATAATAATAATAATAATAATAATAATAATAATGATGTTGAAGATAATAATAGCTTATATCCACAGCACACTCTATCCTTTATACAACTATAAGTAAAATGCCAGCAGATCCCAAAACACCACTCTGAAATAGTGTCATTTTCCCAGGGAGCATAATGCAGTGCAAACTGCAGATTACATGTCCATGTGCTGAAACATTAACAAACTGACACAACCTTTAATTGTCTATAGCCAGGCACCCATTTCCATGAGGGTGAGGTGAGGAAGATTTGCTTCTCAAAGACACAACGTTGGGGCCCTGATAGGATTCAAACTCATGACCTGATGGTTGAGAGTCCGAGAACCGAACCACTAGACCACTGAACCCACATCTGTCCATCTTACTCTTTCACTGCATAAAATTACTGTTACTGTGTCAGTGTACTTCTCTTTACTCAGACAAGAGCTGGAGAGAGACCATTGCTCCACATTAAACACCTATCACAAGTAGAATTAGAACAAGTCATGATCTTTGGCCTGCAAACACAACACATCCCACTGAATTCCTACCTAAATAGGATCTGCAAGGATACCCCACCCGACTGCCCGTTGTGCGACTGCCAGGATGAAACAGTATCACACCACCTTTTTACCTGCCCTGTGCTTAGCGACCGGCGTAGTATACCTACCTACCTGCCTCCCCAGACATCGGAAATACTCTATACAGCGACAAAACACAGCTGATAAAAACCTGTAAATTTTTTACCATATGAACAGGCCAAAGGGCTAGAACTAAAATGGCCGCTGGATCGGAAAAGTAAAGTAAAGTAAAGTAAAAGTAAACACCTATCACTCCAACAATTTTTTTCTTCTTTTCAATCCCTTTGCCACAGGCCAGAGTAAAATCAGAATAGATGTTTCAAGTCAACATGAAAAAAACCCACTCCATTGATCTCTTCAACCTGCCTGCATTTTGATGACTGTTATGTACAAGGCATATTTTTTTTTTTTCAATCAACGGAGGCCCCTCATCTTTGAAACAACCATATTGTGTTTCTCCAAGATGATATTATGGTTGGATGAAGATTCTTCTTCTTTACTTTCCCGCTGTTGATTCTGTCTGTCTCTCATGTTTTTATTTTCAGATCATTATTAGCATAATTGAGTTGGTGTGCATCTCTTTACCTAGCCACAAGACAACCTGAATGGTTTATATACATGATGTATATAAAAATTTCTTTTATTTCTCGTTGGGATTGATTTAGAATGCTGGCCTTGAAGTAGGTCTAAATTAAATATCAAGACTAGTTCTACCTGGCTGCTCAAAATTTGTGAAGTGATTTTATGTTTGCAACAGCATTTTTATATAGCCTTGTACGTACATACATCAAACATGCTTATTATAGTGAAACACATGCAAATTGAACAGAATTTTAAGTCCCGAAGTCTTCTTATTTGTCTATATATATAATAATATATTCTTTGTATTTTATAACAAGTACACAACCAAATTCGTACTTAACAAATAGGTTTCAACATCCCGCCAATTTTGCTTCGTGTAAGCTAAACAGTAATTCTGTTAGTCTGTCTGCTCGGATGAAGTATCCCTGTCAGCTTGGGTTGGCCCTGACAGGCAAATTCGAAGGAACCCGCCTCCAAAATGATTTAACACTTACAGTACTGTCTGCAACTCAAGTCACAAGGCTGTAGTATGCGCTTATTTCTACTGGTGATTTTAGTTGCCGATTCGACCAGGCACACTAAATATAATTAAATAACGAATGTATCCCCTGCACTGAAGTAAATACCAATAAAAGTGTTTCTACGGCTACGCAGGTTTTTTTAGTTTTGAAAAATGGTTTCAGCATTCTAAACTGGTGCATTACTTGAAGGTATTTCACTATTTGAGCCTTCGGTACTGTAAGTGTTAAATATGTCGATGAGGGCATAAAACACAACAGCTACATATGGTCGCTTTTTAAGACAAGCCGGCTAACCAAGATTTCGGGGGTTTCCAGAAATCTTGACCAACACCAAAAGTGGGCATTGCCCTACCAATAGGAGAAGTTTGGTTTCATTAGTGCGTATATATGTTTGGTTATAGATTACATAAAGCTCTCCATGTCTTTTAAAGAAACTGAACAAGGGGCAAAAACTTTAACTTCGATTTTCTCAAAACAGCATTTTTTGGGATAGCTGCCTTGTGTTTAAAAGCGACCATATGTACAACAGGCAGACTTCTCCTTTCAATGTGGTGCAGTACCTGGAGGGGTGGCGTACATCACCAGAAAGTCCAGGTAACAAGGAGCAGGGCTCGCAACATTCACAAAGCAAGGCTCCCGTTGTACTTCAGAGCGTATTCTTTGGGGTGCAGGGCTCGCAACATTCACAAAGCAAGCCTCCCGTCGTACGTCAGTGGGTACCCTTTGGGGTGCGGGGCTCACAACATTCACAAAGCAAGGCTCCCGTCGTACGTCAGTGGGTACTCTTTGGGGTCTTCAGAAAATGATAAACCATAAAGGTTGATGCACACGGGAATTCTTTCTTCACAGAATGATACATGTATAAAATTATATGCACAAAAATTTTACAAACTACTGCACAGTAAGATATTGATGAATTAATCTAAATTATACATATATATGGACAATATGGTTGAAACTGTCCAAGATGGAAACCATTTGTTGAGAAGGAAAGTGGTTGTCTTATACAGGTGGAGGTCTTGGACAGTCGGGTCATTATTATAATATAAGAAAGGTAGAAAATAGAGTCATTATAAAAAAGTGTGAGATGAAAAATGGGAAGTGGTTGGCAGTCCAGGTGACTGTTTTAGACGGGTGGCCTGTAGATCTACACCTAGCGCAACTTGCACAAAGGGCGTCCGAGATTTGTTGCCCTTATCCGAGAAGGCATGGTGTTCGATCTTTCCTACCATAAGATCAGGGGTGTGGCTGAAAGACAGCAGTAAGAAGGAGCCAAGGCGTAGCAGTAGAAAGGATGCAGAAAGAGCCAAGAGCTTAGAGGAGGGGGCAAAGGAGGTGAGGGGGTGGGGGCAGAAAGTGGAGACAAAAACAGACGACAGAACATTGTTTATGGGGTGTGAAACATTTACAATTTTACAATTGCATATGGTCTCATTTTTGTTGCTACATCTTTCATCTTTTTTAAATTCAATTTTCTTCTATCTTTTTATTTTACACATAATATTATATGAATGCCACATAATATATTACACCTGCCAAGCAAGTGTATACTTTTACGCTTTTTTTATTTCACACAATTTTGCCAAGTATGATTTTTTAAGGTCAATTTTGAGGGACCATATCTTGGGCTGTCTTAGGTGACCTATTAATGTGTCAGATGATGCAGAATTCATTTAGCTTTAAATTGGTATGCAGTATGAGTGGTTAGTACAAGGCTTTAACACAATTATTGGGTGAATACATTTTCAAGTTTCTTTTGGACACCACTGTAGTATTAGGACAAAGATGAAAAGATAAATAATTTCCTTTGTAAAGACACAAACAATATTCCAGATCAAATGACTTATGTTCGGAGCAACACCTATGAGTCTTTAGTCACGTCTTACGGTATCCTGACCAAACATCAGCCTCATTCTTCTTACTGAGGAGGTCTGCACGGCTATTTACCGGCTCTAAATTACCATTATTATGTCAATGTGCTTTCCTCTACTAAAACCTTCTCAAACTCAAAACAGCAGAGGATTAATCAAGCCGTTAAATCCAAAGAGACATTAAAAATGGTGAAATATTTACAGGCAAAATGATTCTTCGTGTTACATCATCTGTAGAGATAATTCAGAAAAAAGAATACCTTCGTTCCTCTTGAGGTCCTTGCCCATTCTTTTCTTCTTCTTCTATCAAACAAGCGTCAAGAGCATCACGAAGGTGGAGATTGCCCAAAGTTGGAGGTAAATCCTCTGTGGCTAAACGAACAGGTTGCAGCACTGGAAGTTCCATTCCATCATCTAAACGAGAACCCCTGCATGCCTAAAGATAAAAGATTATTAAATAAATATTAAGAGCAAATTGCTTCATGTAAGCACATAATATATCTATGATCTAAAAGGTTTCGATGGAGGCGTAAAAAATTTTCAGGGACATAAAAGGCTTTCATTTCTTTTCATTACTGCCATCAGCAGCAAGTGAAATTTTCTCTAATTAAGATAATTAATAAAATTTTCCAGGTTTTACATTGTCATCTCGGCCACTAGTATGTTTTACTCTTGACTGTCCACCTATGTCTTTCCGTCTTCCTTTGTAACTTGACTAAATGATTGCTGTGGGTGGCTGGAGGGCACCAGTGGTAGGTCCAACTTTTTTACTATTCCTCTTCAATTTCTCCCTATCTTCTTTTTTTCTCAACACTTTCGTTATGTTCATCTATTATACTTTAAAAAAAAATTTTAATCATAATTTTACAAGCAAGTTGCTGTGATTGACACAGAATGATGTGAGGCACAAGGGCTAAAGGTGGACAATGCATAATGAGGACTGACAGCATCAAAGTATTGACTGGGCTAGAGGATATAACAAAATGCACCAGAGCAGCTGACGACTGTAAACAATGGCAGGCTATTACACGTCATCCGCTGAGCTAGAGACGACACCTCCAGACACAGATTTTAAAAGCAAAATGAGCAAAAACTGAACACAGGTTCAAGAACGGTAGATAAGCCATTCTCAGTTTGTTGGAAGGAAACTCCACATTCTCTAGAAATGGGTGGTTGGAGGTGCCACTTAAGTACTTCTTTTCTGTCGCTCTGTTGCTTCAAGCAGCCCGTTTTTCTCTCTTCCTTCTCTTGATGACTGTTATTGTGTTGATGTGTTTCTCTTGACTCAGAGACTATTCCCTTTAATGGAAGATCCCTTCTCCTCAAAGGTGGATATATACCAAAAGGGAAAATGACTCTTTGTCTTCCTATCTCTTACATTCTTACATTAATTCTATTTCAATTTCTTACAAACGTTCAAGTTTAATTTTTTACAATAAAAATGAAAGGATTCCAAATCCCCGTTTTTTCCCCCCTCTATATCTTTTGAATTGCAGCTTACCTTAACACAATATAAAGGAATCATGCAGATCTGGTTAACACAAATGAATTTTGGACCATTTCATCATTCCTCTCGGCTGAGTCATCCCCCCCCCCTCAACTCGCTGTTACCTATAGTTATCAACACACGTCACACATCACTTGTTCCATACGCTGAAGGGCCAATAACACGATCAGTTAAAACTGACAACTGGTTCATCCTCTTTGTGATAAGAAAAACTACATATGATGAAATCTAGGTAAAAATACTTCTTTTTTGTGATCTTCTAAATCCAACAAGAAAAAGAGTCACACACGAGTCATTTTGTTAATTTTGATATGCTGGTTCGGAATTTGATGTTATTTTTACAATAGGATGTAGTCTTCAATAAGTTTACAAACAAAATTTTTATCGTTTGTGGGCCGCAGGCATAGACTGTCCGGTCGGCTGGATGCTTTTTTTGCTTCAAGCTGGCAAGCCTTGACAATTAAATTAATAGCAAAAAAACATAAATAAAAGAGAAAGACAAAAGGAAACCTGAAAAAGAACAACTAATTGGTCTTGGAGTGGGGAGAAAAGGTTTGAGGATTGGACCAGGGGTCTCATTCCAATACTTTTTGAGGACCGATGGCCTTATTTATACACAATAACGTGTCAAGGTTTGGCAAGCAAGGGCACTGACCTGAATAAAAAACAATTTGGGTTTTCCAATGAGGCTAGGGCAATTTCTGTCTCTGAATTTTTCCATTATCAGTCTCGTCTCGACTTGTCCATCCCTGGTAGAAATGGTGTCTTCTATTTGATAGCCAGATTGCGTGGCTTCCATCCTAGAGTTGCCGTGTGAGGAGATGGCCACGACAAGACAGTCGCAGTCAGAGTGATCTTCTCTTGATACTGAATCAAACAACAACTTTGTTAAAGTAGAAACAAAATTTTTAAAAAACAACAAATAACAATAAAAAACAGCAACAAAAGAACTTCAGAAACTGTATGACAATATAGATGAAAATCTCTTGCAAAAGAAATAAATTTACAATGTATGGTGGTAAATTTTTTTAACCTTTGCCTTACTTGGACCTTTTACTTGGGATCAACAATCGTTCTTTCAGAAGACATACAATGAGGAAAGCAGAAAGTCATAAATGTAGCATACTATTCTTTACTGTGTACTTTTGAGTCACTCTGGAGTTATAGACTATCAGATATCGGGTTATAAGCATACATGAAAAAACAAACGGAAAGACAATTGGGATATTTTCCGTCTTTGAAGAAAAAAGTACATCTGTAGAAAAGCTTCTTTTTCCTATTCTATTCAGACGTTGGTGTAGTCTTCATACCCTAAATAATATCTATTTTCTTTAAATCACACATAAATCATTTGGTTACTCTTTTAAATTTATCTTTGATTTACGCAATACCAAAGTTTACCATTATGAATAAGTTGTAGCAACTCATTCCTGGTCACATCCCGGAAAGTTCGTATTTCAAAATCCAGAGAGGTGAACAACTCTTGAAGTCGCCTGAAGTCCTGCTGGCTTCCATCTCGTGAGCGTTGTCCTGAGAAGTTATGGTTGACGATGATGATAGCGACACCTCTACGCTCATGTGAGAAGTTGTAATTGTCACTGCTATCCAACGCTGGTACAGGATTGTCAGAACTTGTAAGAGAAAAAAGAAAAAAGTTGAAAAGGGTTATCCACACATGGAATTGCTTTCAGACTAGATACCACATGCATAATTATAATTGCTGAGCAAACAGTATTACTACTCATGTCATTTGTTTGGTATTTCCTTTTTAGATTAGCCGGGTTTGTCCTGTTGTCATTCTTAAGTTGTGTTTTTATTGCTTAAACTTTCTTCACCAGGCTTACCTTTCTGTCAGTTCATGAGAACACTGCAAGGCAAAATGTCATACATAGGCTACCAAATGACTTGCTTGGTTGTCAAACAAGAACTCCACATTTTGGTGTATTGAATCTCTTTGCTTTCTTAAAGGAGAAACTTCCCTTTTGAAAGATGTTACGTACGAGCTGAAGTTTGGTAAGACAGAATATGAAAATTCTGATCAAATTACAATATTATTTAGAAACAAATATGGAGACACACTTTTTAAGTTTGCAAAGCACCTTTCTAGTAACGAATCTTCCACAACCATAAAAAAACTTAAAAGATGGAATGCATCGGCACTACACTCTCTTTGCAGGGTTGAGTTCCTGGTATCTCCCCTCTATGATGTCAAATGGGGGAATGCATTAGACCAAATTCATAGTTGATGAAGTATCAATTCAAATTATATAAAAAATGTTGATATTATTAATATTGTAAGTCTTGAAGGAAAATGATTTACATCACAGGAATAATATCACAGGACTAAACCCTAAAACACATGAAAACTTTTTTTTGGGATGCAAAAGATCCTGTGATTTATATCACTTCTGATTTTCAACATATCTGCTCATGAAAAAAATACACATCTTTGTTGGCAATTGGCTGTTAATTAATTCTTTATCTTGGGAGTAATCATGTATAACGTTTCAGGATTTTCTTAGAAATGGCTGTTTATTCATTCTAAGCTCTAAGCATGAGAGTTTCTGAGTCATTTTTTTGCTCAGATAGAGACACACTCCATGCTTTCATTAACTCACCCTTTATGACAGCCTTTCCTTGTTTTTGTGTAAATACCCTCAGTGTCGAAGTCAGTTTCTATAGGAAAATAAAAAGAAATAAAGAAAAAAGTGAAATAAATGAACCCTTTCGTCCTAAATTTAAAAAAATAAATAAATAAATAAATAAATAGCATTTGTATAGCCCATATCCCCGCTCAACAGCAGGCTCTATGCGCTTTACACTATATTATTACCCCAGCAGACCATGGAACACTCCGAAACATTCTCAGCTTCCCGGGAAGCATACAGTGCAAGCAGCTGATTAAGCGCTCTAACACTAACAAACTGACAAGATTTTTCACTTTCTATAGCCGGGTACCCATTCCCACCTGGGTGAAGTGAGGAAAATTCGTGTAAAGTGCCTTTCCCAAGGACAAAATGTCGGGTCACTTACGGGATTCGAACCCACGACCTTACGGTTGCGAGTCCGAGAGCCTTATAAGCACTAGGCCACCGACGCCACTTTTAAATGACATATATCTATCATGAGAGAATACAGAAGCATCCATATTGAAGGACTAGGCGTAATATGGTAGGCCTATATCCTACTTCAGTTTCAAAGTAAACATTCCCCCCAAGAAGACCAATATTCTTTTTTGATGTTTCAAATTTTACAGACTATTATTTTTCTTTTTTGCAAAACTTTCGTGAGTTACATATGTCCCTATTTCACATTTAGAAAATCAGGTAACAAAAGAACTAATTGCAGCATGACACAACTATTTTTTATAAAACCAACTCGAAAAAAAAATAGAGAAAGACTTCAAAGTAAAAAAAAAAGACTATTGCAGAATAATTACTAACGCAATTAAATAGGGGCAATTTCGATATACAGGTAGTTCACTCTCAAAATCTTGTTCACTCCAATAAAATATGGACTCCAGTAGATCCCTTTAGTTTAGTTTAGTTTTAGTAAGAGATTTACGGCACTTGCAACACAATAAGGTCATATAAGTGCCGAAGAATAGATGCGTAACAGGAGAGTAACATACACAAAAAAGAAAGGGGAGATAATGACGACAGATGTTTGATAGGAAAGAAGGAGCAAACCACACCAGAGCACCCGCCAACCACCCACTAGATCCCTTTAAAAAGTAGGTAGCCTACATATAGAGAAAAAAGTGCTAAAGTGATGGAATTCTTAAAACTTAATAATTTTTTTCTAAATAACCTGAAACGAGACTTTTTTTCATAATAACAACACAGAAAATGTCTCAATTTTTAGCTGTCTAGGCCCTACACATCTTAATTGTTGTTAAAATTTCTATTCTATCATGGATCGTACACATTTGATATATTCACAAATAGGCTATATATTTATATTATATATATATATATATATATTGCATGCATGCACACACACACACACACACACACACATGACACACACACACATTATTATAATAATCACATTTTTAAATCTTTGAATCGATTGTAACATACCATCACATATTCCCATAGTTTCATCCATTGTCAGTAAAGCTGAAGTTTCAATGACAGCACAAGAGGCTAAAGAGATAGGTGAATGTTAGTGTCAGTCTCTTAAGTCTTAATTGCTGCTCACCACCTGTGAATAATATAAAAGAAAGGCTTGTGGAAAGAAACACAATTATAATAATAAACAATAATATGGAAGTGAACATTCCAGATACGCACCGCATTTAAATTTGCTCTGTGATAGTTTATGAAAATATGCGGATCATACAGCTCGTCATAGAAATAATGAAATCTGAGAAATCGGCATTTTTCGACCAGTTTGGAAATTTTTTTCAAATTTTTGTTTTTTAGCTCAACACATGTCCTTTCCAAAACACTTTTATGTGTGAATTTTGTAGAAAAACATTGATTTAAGGGACAAAAAATGTAAACATGCCGTTTCCAAGGACTCAACAAGCTATGGAAGTCACCAAACTTTGGCGGCCATTATCTCACTAATTTAACTTCCAAAACCAGGCGACCCCACCTCCTTCAATTGCAAATATCTCGACTTCTATTCCAGATAAATGGATATTTTTTTCCATCGAAAGCAAGGGAAATAAGCAACCATTAAGATGATGATTAAGACAAATAACTCCATGTGTCCCAAAATTGGCGAACGCCTGATTTCACCACAATGCCTCACATAATATGCGGCATAGGGGGTAATAATTATCCATCAACTCTTTGACTTTAATTTGATGAAAAAAATATAAGAGGATTTTGAAGTTGGGCTTGGTAATACTTCTACTTCTAGATTTCTAGATTTCTAGATCTAAATTGTTTCATAAAAAGAGGACTTTCACGATTCCTCAAAGAAGTATAATAGATTCTAGATCTATATAATGTTATATAATTATAATTGTATACAATGTATTATACTAAATATCCTAAATTTAAATTGATATTGAATGACCATCATACTGCCCATCCTACTCACTCTCTCGACCGGGCTGTGGTGATCTAGAATCTAGATTCTATTTCAGTTCCAGTCAAGAAGTAACAAACTCAGCGACTTAGGACTTAGGCTGAAACAACAGCTCCCACCAAATGTTGCCACAGGACTAGATCTAATGTACTGCTGACACTGATATTGGAATTCCCAATAATAAAAATAAAAACTTTGTCGTGTTGACCAAATAGCCTCAACACCCGCCTAACACCCACCCACTCACATCCTGGCGTCACTCCCAAAACTCAAAATGTTTTAAAATAGTGATGGGCAGGTATCGATACCAGGTACTTGATACTTAGATACCTATTGGTTTCGATATCGGTACCGATACCTGCTCTAAACATCGATACCTTTGTGTTGTTTATCCCAGGGCTGCCAAAGCAAGTGACTTGGGCCTTGAGAATTTTTTGTTTATCAAAACTGATGAGTTTCGTAGGGGGCAAGCGTTTTAAATTAATCTAGTGATTTTTTAACAAAAAGAGAGAAATTTTTCATGAAATGTTCCAAGTGATTTTGCAAAATCCTCACTGACAACCCTGATTTATCCTCATTGGTTTAATTTAAAGTTGCTAAAAATCTGGTAAATTGAATTGCCTTTTTAGAACTCTTGTGTTTTTATTTTCCAATACTAACATTTTCTGCAAAGTTGACTTTCCTCCCATACTTCACTTAATTTTTGTTTTTATTCTCATATTTGGGTATTTATTTCTCTCTCTCTCTCTCTCTCTCTCTCTCTCTCTCTCTCTCTCTCTCTCTCTCGCTCCCCCTCTCCCTCTCCCTCTCTCTCTCTCTCTCTCTCTCTCTCTTTTACAAATAATTTTTGTTTGAGTCTCAGCTAAATAGTCACAAGTTGTCTAGACACAATTACCTAAATACTTGGAAAAGTAGAGTTGTATTTTTGTCTTTAATTATTACCCCCCGGCGTATGTTACCAATAGCATTAGGTATCGAGGTATCGGTATCGATACCTTGAAAAATTACTAGGTATCGACATCGATACCTAAATTGTGGTATCGGCCCATCACTATTTTAAAAGTTTCCCCGAAAACGAAACGGGAAATCCCTATGATGACGGAAATTGGGGGTATCGCTTGCTTAAGTTGTTCCCTCAAAGGCGCAATTTAAAAAAAGAGAAAGTAAGAAAGAAAGACAATTTT